TCAGTGAGTAATGGCAGTCCAGCGTCCCCTGGTTACTAGGTAACCAGGAGATGCTGAACTGTCATTACACACTGGCTCCAGTGATGGACTACTAGTTTGTATTGAGATTGCACTCCATCACAGGAGCAAGCTTGGAGCGGTGGAAGTAAAAAAAGAAAAAATATAGTGTGGTGTGCAATATAGTGAAAAGGAAAGTGTAAAATTATACAGCAGTCAATGCAGAATGGCACCGGCTATAGAGGACTACAAATCCCAGCAATAGTACATTATACAGCACAATGCAGAATATCCCCAGCTATAGCGGACTACAACAAATCCCAGCAATAGTACATTATAGCTGGCGGTATTCTGCATTGCGCTGTATACTGTACTGTTGCTCGGTTTTGTAGTCCTCTATAGCTGGTGGTATTCGGCATTGCACCACTGTATTATGTATTATTGCTGGGATTTGTTGCACTCCTCTATAGCTGGTGGTATTCCGCATTGCGCTGTATAATGTATTATTGCTGGGATTTGTAGTCCTCTATACAGCGCAATGCAGAATATCACCAGCTATAGAGGAATACAACAAATCCCAGCAATACATTATACATACAGTATGTATGTATAATATACAGCACAATGTACCATCAGCTATAGAGGAATACAAATCCCAGCAATACATTATAGAGCAGCATGTGGGGGGGAAAGTGCAGGCTTACCTGAGCAGTCTTCCAGCAACTTGCTTCTGAGATCGGACCTGTCTACCGGCGGCTGTCATCCCCCCACACCTGCTCCTCCTTACTACATCTCCCCGCGTCAGGTTTCCGATCGTGGATGTGGGCGGGCGGTAAGTGAGGCGGGGAGGAGGTGCGGCGTGAAGAGCATTGATGCGGGCGGGTCTGGCAGCGCGAGCGTGAGGTGGGGAGGAGGTGCTTCGCGCAGCGTGTGTGGAGCCGTGAACAGGGCCAACTGATCGGAAGCCGATTAATCGATTGAAAAAGTTGACAACTTTTTCAATAATCGATTGTCGATTAGTTGTTGCACCCCTACAAAAAAGGTATAGAAGTAGCAAACAGAACTCATTTTGGTTTTAGCATGGCATAAAATAATTGAAGCCATATTAAATGGGTTGTTTTATAATGCTCAAGTTTTCACACCTGCAGCAGCATGTTGATTAATCAGTCGTCAAGAACACGCATGCTTCTGTGTTTGTGCGTCAAAGCCAGAACTCTTATCAAAGCATGTTTAGCCACTGGGCTGCAACAATAATGAAACCTTAGCCAGGAAAGCTGACAACATTTTTCCCCATGACAAAGCTTCCACGCCCCCCCCCACCCCAGTGCAATCGAATGTGTGGCGGAACGGAAGACTGGCAAAGTTTTGCCAGGCATCCAATCGCAGTTACCGCTCTGGAACGCACACGCTTTCGGTGTGAACAAGGCCTAAGGGAAACCGTGTAATTTGCACAAAACCATGCTGAGCCCTTAAGGTAAGCCTTTGATCAACTTGAGCATATGATAGTTATGATTATATGAACTGGTTAAGTTGACTATGTTGGTTGAAAAAAAAAATTCCCTCTTTTGTGGTCTACAAGAGCCTCCGGTAGGCTCTACCATGTGTGTCGGATGCATGATCCCCTGTTGCGCTCTGTTTCCTCCCGTCGGCCCCTGCATAACTACTGTGTCCTGTAGCGGTTGATTGGGTTTGTGAAAATGACACCTCTCACGGCCATCACCAATAATCCAATGTATGTAAAGCCGCACTCAACAGCCAGGACTGCGATGAAAAAAGTTTAATCCCAGGAGTCTACAATGTTACAAGCATAAGATAAGATCCACGGGCTCTGACATGTCTCTCCAAAAAAGATTATTCATAGGGGTCCCGTTTGTTGAGTGCGACTTAATATACATTGGTCGATGGGAGGGACCACAACACACAGCAGTGAATGCAGGCATCTGACATACCTATGAAAGACCGTTTGCTGACACGGTCACTTTATGGTGAGGTTTTCCTCATTGAAATTGACATGTCAATATGGTCAA